AAAACAAAACAAAACAAAACAGTGTGTTCACTATAATGTTTTGTTTCAGATTTCATGGAAGACCATAGTAAGAATGAAAAGTTTATAATACTAATACTGTTCTCCTTTTGCTTATAAAATTGTATATACTGTAAGTTAATTATGTCTTTCTAAAATAGTTTACATTTTTTGAAAGAAAACTTAATTATATATGTAATAAAGCAGATAATTTTGAGTAATTTTTTAGTAAAGTGAATTTTAAACAGCCCTAGTTATGTCATATATTCTTGCTTCTTAGAATGAAGCTTTCCGAAGGGTATTTAGGAATCATAGGATGATGTGGCAGCTTTATAAGTAAACCTGTTGTAGGAATAAAGCTCGTTAACTTGTTGCTAGTCTTAATTTTCATACCACGTTAAAAGTTACGTGCTGCTCAGATCTTCAGTACATTGTGTGGCTGTACAATGAAATACATTGACTTAGAACTTTTAAGATCATTTATAGATGAACGAAGAGGCTTAATGTAGCTTATGAATGCTAAACTAAGTGCTGTTTTTCTGAACAAAATAAGTACAAATTATGCTAAGTAATACTTAATGTTGCTAATTAGTAACACAAATGTTTATAAAGAGATTTTCCTAACATGGTTCAACCTGAAGGATAATTTAGCTTTTTTTTTTTTTTTTGCGGAACTGGAGATTGAACTCAGGCCCTTGTGCTTGCCAGGCAAACACTTATTCTACTGAGCTCTCTGCCCGGCCCCACTTTTTTCTTTTTGGCTCTGCTTCTTTTGTTGTTGTTGTTGTTGTGTGATCAGAGCATACATCTGTTAGCCAGTTTTGCTGCTAGGTCCACTTTGCTCTTTTCTCTAAAACACACACACACACACACATACACACACACACACACACGTCTGGCAGCCTTGAGCTTGGCGTGTAGCAGGCTGGCCTCCACTTGGGCAGTCCTCCTCTTTCAGCCTCCTGACTGCTGGGATCTGGGCGTACACCACCATGCCTGGCTGGCTGTTCATTTTTCTTCTAAGCTTCTCTCTCATCCTGCTTTTCCTGTGCTGACCACAGCACTGGTCTGGACATTGCTTTCCTGTAGTGTATTCATCCTTGACAGTTACATGAACTCCTCAAGTGAATGCTCAAGAGCTCTGGAGTTCTGCCTTCCCAAATTAGTGTGGCACTCAGCATTCTCGGAGGTGACAGGGTATGCTGTGTTCTCACCTACAGCTTGTTTCCCCTCCTTGCCTTTCCCCGCACCCTCTCTCTCTCTGTATGTATATTTGTGTAGAACAGATAGCATGCATCATATGTGTATATTTCTTTTTTAAAAAATTTTTATTTATTTGTTTGTTTGGTGCATGGTCTCACTTCACAAGTTGGACTTGTGGTGATCCTCCTGTCTCAACCTCCCCAGCACTGAGACTTCAGGTATGCGCCACCACACATGGTTTAGGTGGCTGCATGGCATGTGGTACTGGGGATTGATCCCGGGAGGCAGGTGATTAGGCTGACGAGATAGATCCCCAGCCCATGTGTGTATATTTCTTAATTCCTTTTACCACTTTAGAAAACCAAGCTGTTACTTTCGAGGGCTTTACTAGTCAGCCCACTTGATTTTTCTCATTTTATTTTATTATTTTTTTCATTTTATTTTTTAAAAGTTGTATACTGAAGGGATTTTTTCTCTTACATTTTTGAGGAGATTGCCAGAGCCTCCTATATGCTAAGCTGGTGCTACCACTAAACTATGTCTTCTCCCTTCTTTTTTTTTTTTTTTTTTTTTTTTTTTTTTTTTTTTCTTTCTGGCAGGATTTTGCCATGTAGTTTATGTAGCCATAAGCTCACCATGTAGCTCAGGCTGGCTC